CACAGCTAAACTAAAGCGACCGTTTTTACTTTTGACTATGCATGTGAGCAAAAAACTTTGCAAGCCGAGAATTACTCTAGCGGACAAAAACTTTAGGTGGATCTATAACTTTGGCCAACCTTCAAACCTGCTTATTCCAAAATTTTTGATTTTCTCCTGAATAATTTAACGGAAGCGAGATCTGTTCTGGCTATTGGAGGTAGCTAGCTTATTAAATACACAGCTGTACCAAATTTCAAACCAATTCGTTGAAAAGCAGATGAGCTATGGCAGTTTTCAGGTGGATCTATAATTTTGGCCAGCACTGTATAATTGATAGGAGAGTTATTCACAAAACAAATTGCCTTGTTATGTGATGTGATCGACATCGTTTGCTTTGCTGCAAAACGTAAAAATAGAATTTTCCAGATTATGAGCGCATTGGCAATACCAACTATGGAACAGGAGATAATCTGAACCTAATAATGATTTAGGAAAGCACATATAAATCCACTCCGAGGAGAGAGATTCTTACTTGAAGAATGAGACTTGTTCTTGCATATATGCGAGTGTAAGGTTTAGTGAGATCATAATCCCAATATTGACCATCAACTTTATAAATATAGCCACAGTAAGTGGTGAAAAGCGGAACTGAAATATCGAGTTCATTTCGTCAGTCAAATACCTCAAGTCCTTCACGCTATTTCGTTTTGTTATGGTATATGCTCTGAAACCCACTCACTTGTCATTGCCAAGCCGAGTAGCATTACTGTAATATTGGCAGCCACAATACATCTGCGACTTATAGTTCGAAACCAGAATGGCGTATAAATCGAGAAGAAATGGATCACCGATAATAGCGGAAGACATAAGAGCTCTGTCCAATGTTGCAAAGACTGTACCAGCACGGATATATAGAGCGTTTCCTGAGCTGAATTGTAACAGCTTGAGTTTTTAGGGCATAGATATACAATCACTTACTTGAGACATCTTTATTCAAGATAGAAGATGGCACATCATGTAGGATGTCGTGTATATAAACAATAATGTCTATTATCATGACAGTAGTGATTGTGTAGAAGATAAAATTATGCGAGAGTAAACGGGTTTTCACTACCGCCCATAGCACTGTCAACTCTAACAACATAATAACTGTGCTGACAAGGATATATGAGACCCAAAGTGTAATTTGCAAATTCATTTCTCTGCAAATGTGGCTTAGGAATTATGAGCATTTTCGATTTCGCAGCAATATCGAAAAATAGGATAAAACGAAAAAAGGGCGCGGAAAGGTATCGCGTTGGAAGAACACCTTTGTCTTGATTGCGTTAATGTCATCAATGGAATACTTACCACTAAGCATCTTAAACACTTCTCAGCCTCCATCTTCATACTGTTAAGGTTGAGCGCAAATTTGAGATGGTTTATAATCTGCACAAAGATACGTAATGAAACGAAGCTTTGCCGTGGTACACTACCGCCTTCCCAGCTCACAGTTAGCCGCATGAGAGTGTCACCGCGCGGCAAAAGCTGAGCTATTTCAATCACAATTCTGATATGGACATTATCCCCGTCGCATATGGTTGCAATGATTAAAACATTGATTGATTAATATACCACAGCCAGGTATCTACAAGCGTCACCAAAGCGTAAGCTGTAGCTGCGCCATCAGCGTGAGTCCATGTATGCCATGCACAGCCAAATTGTGGAATGAACGCCCGC